CTCTACCACTGAGCCATCTTCCCAGCCCAAGACTAGTATTCTATTACTTTGAGCCATAACACCACTTCTGGTTTCTGAGTGGTTGATTGTAGATAAGAGTCATACTGGGATTTTTCTGCCCTGGCTGGCTTCAAACTGTGATCCTCAGATCTCAGCCTCCTGAGTAGCTAGGATTATAGGTGTAAGCCACTGGCGCTCATTTGGGCAGTTTTACTTTTAAGTGCTTTTCTTATATTTATTTTGTTGTTGTTTCTTTGTCTTTAGAGAAACATTAGAGAAGCAAGTGTTTGCTCTCTGGTGGCAGAAGATGTCTGAGCATCGAGAAAACCGTTTGGCAGAGAGAATGGTACGTAGCTATCTCTGAGGACAGGGGTAGTCATGTTTTCATCCCTTGCTCCTACTGTGTCCCCTGAGAAAGTTGCCCAGAAGCCAGACCAGAACTTCAGGGCTCCCGCCTCTGACTCAGGAGCCAGGAACAGGATCCAGACAGCAACCAAGCCCGTCCTGTGCAGTTTACAGGCAGCCTCTGACCCACGTACCTCCTCAGCCTGTATTTCTTTCTTTCTCCTTCCTTCCTTCCCCCTCCCTCCCTCTCTCTCTCTCTCTCTTTCTTTCTTTCTTCCTTCCTTCCTTTCTCTCTTTCTTTCCTTTTGTTGGCTGGTTGTGGGGCTTGAACTCTGAGCTTTTGGCTGTGGGCCTGGACACTTGCCCTGAGCTCTTCCGCTTAAGGCCAGGGCTCTACCACTTGAGACACAGCACAACTTCCTGTTTTCTGATGGCTAATTGGAGATAAGAGTCTCATAGACTTTCCTTCCCCAGGCTCGCTTTGAAGCGTGATCCTCAGATCTCAGCTTCCTGAGTAACTAGGATTACAGGTGTGAGCCACTGGCATCTGGTTCAGCCTGTATTTCTTTGGCCTGTAAGATTCTTCCCTGGCTTGATTCTTCCCCTCTCTGCTTGACTTTGTTCTCTCTCCTGACCCGCCTCAGGCCATCCTTCAGGCAGAGCAGCAGCTTCTGCGCAGGGCCTGGTCCATGTGGCACCGACAGGCAGCGGCACATCGCCAGGAGCGGGAGCGGCAGGCAGCAGCCCGTGCCCACTACCAGCAGGGGCAGCTCAGGAAGGCTTTCTGGGTCTGGAGGGAGAGAGCCCGAGGGCTCAGGACAGAGTGAGTCAAATTCTGCCTCGGAAGTCCCTCCCAGCTCATGCCAGCTTTGTGTGCAGCAGCACTGTGCCCACCCAAGGGCCGTGTCTACCTAGACTGACTGTCAGTCCCAGAAGTGGAACCTGACTTAGTCTAAGTGGAGCCAGGCCCATAGCTTGGGGTCCCAGTCTCAGGAGCCCAGCTAGGACAGAGTGCTCTGTGGATTGAGCTCCTGACCATCATCTACCTCCTCTTAGTGGGGTCCTTTTAAAATCACCATGCTCAGGGACCGGGACGAGACTGATGAATCAGCGTAGCTGGCCATGTGCTGTGTGAGTTTTTTAGCAGACCACATAGCTGTAGGGTGCAGGTCAGACAAGCCCGTGTGTCCACTAGAAAGATGGTGTTACTGCCTCCATATCCCCTGTGTGCTCCGAGAATCTCGCTCCCTCTCTCCCTGGCTGCCCGTCCTCAGTGGGCTTCAGCAGGCCTACGCATCATGCCTAAACATTGGTGCCTCTTGTAACCGTGTGATTCTGAGCGTAGGTGCACTTTTCTGGGAGAGAACTCAAATCCTTTGGCAGCCCTGCAGGGAGGGCCTGGACTCCTCCCAAAACTTAGGTACTAGCCAGGGGCCAGGCCTGCTAAGAGGCCCCTGCTGGTCCCAGCTGTGCGCTGAGCTCCGTCTGTCTCCCGCAGGAGGATGGGCAGGGTACGTGCCACACAGTTGCACTCGGCGCGACTCCTGCATTGGGCCTGGAGCAAGTGGAAGGAGGTAAGGTGCCACCCAAGCGTGGCTTGTGATAGGTGGAGCTGTGCTGTTGCCATGACTCGGAGTATGACAGATGGGCTCCTTGGCAGTATGGTGACTCGGAGCCACCTGCCTCGGGAGAGAGGGCAGCAGATGAGGATGTGTCCCCTCCCCATTGGGAGATGATGCAAGACTCCTTGAGATTTTAGGTGCTAAAATCCTGACCTGAGCCTGTACAGGAACCTTCCTAGCAAGGGCAGAAAGTGTGGAAGCCAACACTGATCAAGCACTTACTACGAGGCAGGCCCTCGTTAGTGATTCTTGCAGTGCGTATTTGTAGATGACCCAACAAGTTCAAGGAGGCTCCCTACTTTACCCGAGCTCATGTCACGTCAAATGGAGCTGGGCTCCTCCGTAACTCACATCTGTAATTCTAGCTACTCAGGAGGCTCAGATCTGAGGATCATAGTTTGAAGCCAGTGCGGGCAGAACAGTCTGTGAGATTCTTTTTCTCCACTAAAACTACCAAAAAAGGGGAGAGAAGGGATGGTAGGGGAAAAACAAAGTGCGGAAGTAACAAGCTTGATAGGAAATGTGCTCATTACCTCACTCATGTAACTGTAGCCCCTCTTACAGTATTTTTTTTTTTAATTTTTATTTTTTTTTGTCGGCCGTGGGGCTTGAACTCTGGGCCTGGGCGCTGTCCCTCAGCTCTTCAGCTCAAGGCGAGCGCTCTACCACTTGAGCTACAGTGCCACTTCCGGTTTTCTGGTGGTTTATTGGAGATAAGCCCCGGCTGGCTTTGAACCGCGATCCTCAGATCTCAGCCTCCTGAGTAGTTAGGATTACAGGCGTGAGCCACCAGCACCCGGCTCTTACAGTATTTTTACAAAAAAAAAAAAAGTACCACCAGGTGCCAGTGGCTTACACCTGTCATCCTAGCTACTCAGGAGGCTGAGATCTGAGGATCATGGTTCAAAGCCAGCCTGGGCAGGAAAGTCTGTGAGACTCTTATCTCCAACAAAC